GGGGATTTATTCAACAATATTGACTTCGCCTTCGGCGAATAATTCTTCAATATTAGAGTACGGGTACCTATCAACCGAGGTTCATCTTCCTTTAATTTCTCACAAAGGATCGGTAATACCACATTACAAAACAACGATCTTTTCGACGGGATCATCGAATCGGACGTCTAAGATAGAGCACCAGAAAGCTTTATTTACGGTATTGATGTAAATGAAACTGTCAAGGCTATCGGCGTAGAAATACATTAAAATTCCCTCACGTTAACTGAACATTCACCGTATATTTGTTGATGTTACTTTTACAGTTTCTGTTATTGTTCCGTTTTAAATAAATCTTAAAGTTTTGTTTTGAACATTCGGTTGTTTCTCAAAAAGAAATAAGCGCCCTCCCTTGGGGTACCAAAAGTGGCACTAAATCTAATCACTACGTTATGTCTAGACTTAAGGACCAGACAACAGAACCGCCGATCGACATCACAGGGACCACTGAGGGGTGGGTTTCTTTCACTAAGAATGCTTACCAGTGCTTAGGATCGAAACACACGAATATGGAGTGAGTTTAGTAATCACAGGTAGTCACTGTACTACAATGAATTATACCGTCCATTAAATCTCCACCATCGCCTGATAAAGACCATCAGCACGCACTCAGAACGTAGCGTTTCCTAAATAACAAAGTGATTATCGTGAGACAAGCGATAAACAAGCTTAACGTGATAAAATTGGTGTTTGGGATTCCCGGCTATTTTCAAGGTAGAGCGTACATTGCTAACGGGATTTCAAATTTAAAGCAAAAGAAGCATGAAATAAACATAGGAATTAAGGTTTGAGAGAGAGATAATAAGGGCAAATTTGGAACACGCCAAGCAGACTAACTTCAAGAGACTTCACAGTGTTTCCCGCTGGCTTTTACTGTAAGTTATTCTTTTTTTTCTAAATAAGTGCCTAACACTTGGTTCGCCTCTACCCTGGATTTGCTATGTGGTCGCTAGTTATCACTTTAGGTACAACTTAGAGTTTGCGAAAACATAAATATGTTTAGAAAGGCGTAAAGCATACAGGGCTGATTTTGTTAAACAAAGACTAAAATAACATCACATGGTAAGATCTTGGTTTAATTCTAAACCTCTAGATCTGATAAACAAGACTAATCATTTACAAACGTCAACATGTTTGGGTCCAGAAAATTTAAATAACTGAAATCATGTTTTTGCACTTTCAGTCGGCTGAACTCTCTTTTTTGTAATAGCCGACTTCTAAAACTTAGTAACTCAACTTTATGGGATGGGGGTATTATTCTACGCATTGGTCTGTTGTTAAAAGCAATACAGGCGCTTCTATTTTCTAAAGGAATAACTGTTTTGTAAAATGATTAGTTATTCGTGGTCCTACGAGACAAAGTTGACGTATTTGTCTTTAATCATTGACCCAGCAGTAATGCCTCACTTTTTAGCGCTTAATTGAAAAAAACACTAATGAATATTTAAGTGACATGGAAAAGGGAAAATCTTATGAAAAGAAAAAAAATATATAGCGATTAAAGTACTCATTTTGAACTGTTACGTGTTCAAATTCAAAGTGAACAAAGGAAAGTTTTTTGCCATATATTAAATTATACTTGAAGCAAGATTTCAAGTTTCCCGTACCCGTTTTTGTTATTGAAGATAATTTAAACATAAATTATTTAGCCGTTTCGACAAATAATTAAGCAATAGAAAACGTTTTCCGTGTTTGCATAGCCTGATATAAACACGAGAGGGGTTGGGAGAATTCGAGACAGTTTATGCAAACCCGAGACGAAGTCGAGGGTTTGCATAACTGTCGAGAATTCTCCCAACGCCTCGAGTGTTTATATCAGGCTATGCAAACACAGGAACAAAGTTTTCTATTGCTTTTATAAAATAAAGAAAAGAACGCAAAACTCTATGTATGTCTCTGATTAAAAGAAAAATTCTTACCAGTCGCAAAATCTTGTCCACGAAGTCTTGCACGCGTAATCAGTTCTTGTTTTGCAAAAAGATGCTTTGCAAAATACGGATTTTTCTCGCTTAAAACGGTCAGCTTAAGCGAAGAAAAATGTACACACCTTCTTTGTAACGATTTTCCAAGTTTCAGCCGACGAAGGAATGGGTAAATAAAGTAAACTTTTTGAGTTTTGAACTCGAAAACTTTTTCAAATTTGTGCTTGCGTGATTAGCGCGCGAAAAACCAAACAACTTGAGCCCACAACCATGTTTACATACTCTCATGCAAACACTCCTCTCGGCCAATCAGAGCTCGCGTACTATCTTAGTTATTTTATAAAACCTCTTTAAACCCAATGTCGATTTGAAAAATTAAAACAAGCGGTTTATTGTATCAGAATGACAGAGAGGAGAAAAGTTGTGGCGTTACTTTTTTGGTTTGTATATATTTCAAGATTGCAGTTTGTTAGAGGACAAACCCGTAAGTATTTTCGCTAAGGTCGTATTATCTTAAAATCTAAGAATGAAAATTGAAACTGAAGATACACCCAGAAATACAAATAGTATTCAAGTTTAGTTACTATTACTCAGTTCACTATATATCAACCCCGTCTGCCTATATCACTAAGCCTCTCCAGCGTACGAATTCGGACGAGTTTTTGGCTGTCGCATCTCTCTGCCGAAGAGACAGCTCCTTCTTGGGTGGGAAGAAGCTATCTCATGTCTCACTGGAATAAAGGAAATTTTTTTTTTTTTAAAAAATCTGAAGAAAGTTTTTTTTTTATCAAATGCATTTTGTTACTTCTGTGTAGTGTCTCTCTTCTATCTTGCGGATATAATTTGCGATAAAAACTGAGGTTAATGTAAAATGATAAGAATAATTTTCAATAACCGTTATCATTTCTATTAAAAGAATCACTTCTTGTAATTTACAAGCACAGACGGACAATCCTTTTAAAAATTTATGAACAATTCACCAGGGTTTCTGACATAGGAAGTCTATAATGTCAATGTTAACTATAATACGATCTCAATTCGACGACCTGCTCCGAGTTGGTAGAGGGCTGCACCGGTATCGCAGAGGTCATGAATTTTTTTCAGGCTTTCTTTTCGCCACCGCAAAAGTTGCGTATTTACACTGCGATGATCATCCTTCATTTAATTCTTCGCACTCCGCAGTTTACATAAATGATTTCCATGTATTCAAAACTTCAATACAATCTCTTTTATTAAAAACAGAGTTTGGATAGGCTATTGGTTGTACGGTGACCCACAGGGGACATGCTGCAAATAAAAAATTATTGCAGCAAATGAAAAAAATAGTTGCTGCAAATAAAAGTATTTGTCGGGGTTGATGCAAATTAAGTGACTGGAAAGTATGCGCACGCACTCATGGGAAGAGGAGGACTCAGTATAGTTGTATCCTGGGTCCACTCACGAAATGCTTGACCTAATCATATCCTCAGTAACAAAAAACTTATTTGAGTTTAATGGAAACTCTTATCTTCAAACCCATGGGGTTGCATTGGGCAAGAAAACATCAGTGTCCTTTGCAAGTATCCACATGGCGGAGACTGAAACAAACCTAATCCAACGTAGAAATACCAATGGAAGCGTTTCATTGATGACGTTTTCTTTCCTTGGGACTGTAACAGAAAAGACCCAACCATTTATTAAAGAAACTAACAAATCACATCCCACAATAAAGTTCACGGCCGAAATATGAAAGAACGAAATAACTTTCCTTGATTCAATAGTTTTTAAAGGGAACATCTCACAGAGAAATCCATCTTCATTGGACATCAAATGCAACTATAAGCCGACTAAATCCTTTCAATATACAGCACACTTCAAGTTTCATTAAAGGCGAAGAAATAAGATTAGAAAAAACTCCACCAAAGAAAAAAAAACACATTTGAATAGTGCCTTGCGAACTCGAAGCACTAGAATATCCTAAACCAGTTATAGAAAGGTCGTTGTCAGGGGTCAACTTTGACTTGAGACACTGATCAGGGCAAAAACAAAACCAAAAAAATATAGAGAGACTATTGCCTTTCGTTACAACATATCACCCAGCGGTACAAGACGTTGATGGCAAACGGCCTCTGCAGTGTGGAAAACAATTAAAGACCTAAAGAGCTAAATCTCTAAAAGACATGCTCGAGTGCAAAAATATAACTTGAAGGCAGTTGATAATTCAACGCAACCACAAAAACCACGTTGCGAGTCCGTGCAGGTCTGTCTCTAACTTCCTTACAACTATATTGAGTCGCCCTCTTCCCATCAGTGTGTGCGCATACTCTCCTGTAACTGCTTTTATTTGCAGCAACTTTATTTAATTTGCAGCATGTCCCCTGTGGGCCACTGAAAAAAGCGTCATAGTAATAGACTTATTGTAAAGTGCTCTAAAAATTCTGTAAGCTTAAGAGTCTGAAGATCAGAAGATCAATGGCGACCGAAAAAAATCGTGTCGATGTTTAGACTGCAAGAAAATGTGAAACTGCGCAGAAAAAACGCTACGTTTCGACTTTAATACCCATTCTAATACTGACTTACCTGTGCGCGTCTGCGTATTTCTTTCATCGTTTTGGAAGGGATTTTCAGGGAACTTAAGAAGCCACTACCACGACGGAAGGCGAAAATGTCACTGACAACAATATGCATTATTCAAACTTTATTTATTTATTTAGCCTCGCTCAATTTGTTAAAAGTTGGCAAATTCTCTTGGAGTTGACTAGTCTTCCTGACGTCCTCTGTAAAAAGCCAAATTAGGAGTTTGACCTCTTAGGGCCTGTTTACATGGAAGTGGAGAACCCCAAGTAGCTGTGGTAACCCCCCCTATCCATGTATTTTCTCAAATTGCAATTTGATCACATTTACATCACATTTGGGTTGACCCGCCGGGCGGTTGCCCGGTCTGCCAGACTGGGTGATCCTCTCAGCCGGGGTCAAATTTTGTAATGTAAATGTTTCAAGGTGGGGTGGTCGAATTCGCATCAAATTCGCGCCATATTCGAACCACAACTTTATGGCATCATGAAAAGTGACAACAGAAAGCCACAGCACTGGAAGGTTGCAGGAAGAGCAGCGAGTGAGAGTAGAAAAGTATTAACCGCCAAAACACGTCCTTTGCTTGGCTTTTTTTGTTTACACCTCATTTCATTAACTTTCTCAAACAAGCCAAATAGGCATTAATCAGCCATGCAAATTCTTATTAGCCACTGTAGACTCTCTCGTTAGACCAGATCCCTGGCCAAATTTATTCCTTTTTAGATTTTTACCAATTCTCCTTTCTCTTTTTTCTTGATTTTCATGGCAACCTTACTGCATTTCCATGTATGTGCTTAGCGACCATTTATTGAATAATCTTGAGAAAGTGCACCCGGGGTTGCGGGGTTGTGAAATTGCATGTAAATTTTACCCCAACTGAGCGGGTTACCTCACCTGTTTGGGGTCTCTCACCTCAATGTAAACAGGCCCTTAGAACTACAGTGGACGTCATTGAGAACTTTTCCGAAACAGTGTGATACACGTACAATTTTTTTCCCTTAAGAAACCTAATTGTAATTCGACGTTCTCGCTGCCCTCTTCGTCGTGGTTGCGGCTTAAACTCCCTAATAGTATCAGGTCGGAGATTGGTAGCTCTTTGTTTGTTTTTTTTTTCACAACCCACTTACGTATATGTTTTCATATTTTTAGCCCAGTTTGAATGCGAAATGCCCTTAGGTATGGAAAATGGTAAGATTTCTGATGCTGAGATCGAAACCGAGACTAATAGTTTTGATGCTAATTCCGGGCCTGAGAAAGCCAGACTGAGGTCGCCAACGGGATACCGCGCCGATCCAGAGGCTTTGAACCAAACTTTACTGAATTACATCCTGGTCAAATTACCTAAGGAAATGATTGTAACAGGAATCGCCACACAGGGCCTTGGTAAAGAGTGGGTGAAAAAGTTTGAACTGTTAGCGGACAAAAATCAAAGTGAATTGATCAGTTTCAAGGACGTTGTTAATGGTACGACTCTTAAAAAGGTAAGACAATTATCTACGGCTTGCCTGCAATGGTAATGCTGGTTGCGCAATTTTTGTGGATTTCACTGAATGCAAAATACTTCTATTGTAATTCGATCTTTTTCACGAGTAGCTGTAGAAAGCGCCGATTCTGGATGGAGAATGCGGTATTAATATTAGTATAGTTGGGAAATAGATTCAGCTAGAGGTTGTCGTGAGCACAGTTTTCTTAATACGGTATGACATCTACGGTTGTGAAAAATTTTTAAGAACTGATTCGGCTTGAGATTTTAAAGAAGGTGAAGTGATATCTTTACTGGAAAGGCTACCACAAAAAGACATAACTTGCGTGGATTACTTGCATGGTGACGCATTTAGAGAGTTGATTATGAATGACGTGTTTGTAAGTTAACTATCCGTTGATTAATTATTGAATTTCTTGTTTGCAGAAATTTAAGGGTAATACTGATGGCGATAGTATCGTGTTCAATTCAGTTCCGTTTCCGCTGAAGACAGCAGAAGTCTATATACACCCAACGGATTGGCATAAGAATATTGCTTTGCGATTTGAAATTTACGGCTGTGAACCACGTAAGAAACATCGCCTCTTAATACCTATTGAATTTTGCACTGCGTTAATTTGCTAATCGCTAATTTGTTAAACCCGCTGCTACATATACACTTACTCCACTAACTAATTAAAAGGAACAGTTGTCGGGTAAGAAATAGGTGATGCTTAACTTGATTATTTTGTGACTAAATATTAATTAGAAATTGACATTTGTAGCGCAAAGAAGTTAGATTTCGTGACATTTGATTTCACAGTAAAGTAGACAAAGTCCGAGTATTTTTACGATATAAAATGATGTAACTGCATGCATTTTCTTAGGCTAAATAAGGTGAAAGAACGTGCGATTTTGTAATGGGAACTTTTACTGTACATGTGATGAATGTAAAAGCACTGCTTTACGCAAGGATAGTAGAAAAACCACTGTATACTTAGAATGTTTTAGTTGATCGTTTAGTTACGTTTATCGTTGATCGTTGTGTTAGAACCGTTGAATGTGTGAGAATTGTACATCGCAGTAGACTGTTGGATTGGATTAAATCGTGTTGTTACATCAAACGATACAGTCCTCTTGATTTGTGTGAACCAGCGAGCGGGGTTATTAGAATGCGGCAATGTCTGTCAGAAAACCTCAAATGTCTTCTGTTTGCAGCTTCGTACGACTTCACGATCGTCACTTTAAAGATGTGCATTTTATTCGCAATGTCTATCAAAATATACTGTTTTCAAATTCAATTCAATTCATTTTTATTCACACTTTTACAAAATATTTACATTACACTGTATATATAGTAAGGTAGGAATACACGAATAAAGAAAAAGAAGAAGAAGAAGAAGGAAAAAAGAAAATTAATGGCTTGGATAGAAGTGTACGGTGGTCAGAGGAGCTTAGCTTTCGAGCTAACCACCGCTATATTATGAGTGGAAAAACATAAAAAATGTGCGCTGATGGTGCCATGGCAACTATGGATGATTATATCAGTCGTCATTTTATGTGAAACAGTCATATTACATTGTTACCTTTGAAAGTTAACTAGAATTCGCTTGTATTCTTTTTTGAACTTATCGTAGCTAAGTGTTTTTATTTTAGTAGGAATCTCTTCCCAAGTTTTGGTTATGACCTTACACGTGGTGCATGAAAGTTAAGATGTGAGGCATATCTGGTTTTGTGTGAGTGAATATCAGACACCTTTACGAGATAGTTTTGAAACACTTCAGGGATATTGGCGTCATTTTGTGAGCTAGCAAGAAGATTTTAAGATTAAAAATGTTATCTATGTTAGGTATATCTAGAAATTTGAGGTAGGGTGCACTACTTTCTCTATTATGGCTAAAAATATGCAGCGTATACATTTATTTTGTTTTGTTTGAACTCTAGTTAATCTAATAGGTATGTGTTTCCCCAACTCATAATTCCATAATGAAGGTAGGGGTAGATAAGTGAGTAATGTACTTTTTTTTGAGGGTGTTTAAAGTTAAGAAATGTTGTAATTTAAAAAGGATTCTTAAGTTTTTAGATATTTTGCTGTTTATGTGCTGAATGTGGGGAGCCCAATTTAGATTTTTGTCCATGTAGGTATTTGATGTAGTTCTTTTCTTCAATATTGCGTAAATTAAGCTTAAGTTTATTTGCTTTTTGGAGGGAGGAGATTGTCATATAGTGGGTTTTCCTAGAGTTTACAGAAAGTTTATTAGCTGAGCAGTATATAGCTAAGAAGATGGTTGAATTCCTCATTTATAGTTTTTTCAAGGTCCTGTAGAGAATTGGAAGAGTAGAATAGAGTGGTGTCATCAGCAAATGTTCTAATATCTGCCTTTTCTAAACAATTGGGCATGTCATTGATATATATCAAAAAACGAAGTGGGCCAAGGGTAGAACCTTGTGGTACACCACATTGGATAGAAACCACTGGAGTAGGACACCACGGATCCCCCGTATCTGTATAATGTCTGTAGTAGGATCTGATGGTTGGCAGTAACAAGGCTTTAGATAGGTCAAGAAAAATACTGCATATAGCTTCATTGCTGTCAATTTTTATTTTAAGATTGTCAGTGAGTTCAAGAATTGCTTGCTCAGTAGAATAATTTATCCTCAAGCCAAATTGGTGTTTATACAGAAAAAAATGCCCGGCGTAATGATTTTTCGGTCATGGTGTAACGAATATTTATGCCTCCTTGCCCGCTTGTCTTTTATACCCTTATTATAAAGATAATCTTTGGCTAAATTCTGGGGTCGTCAGTCGAGCTACGTTTGCAAGAGCGCTTAAAGAAATAAGGAACAACGAAGGTGTTTGGGTATAATTTTGGCCACGCAAGATGGCCGATTTATTGATTAAATATAACATCTTCAAACAAATTTGAATAGCTATGATTATTTGATTTTTTACGCTCTGGCAAAGGTGAAGGCGGAGAAAAAAGGCACCCAGAGTAAATATACTACTATTAAGAAAGAGGCGGAGGAAGGGAGGAGGAGGGTCAAATTCGCAAAGCTTGTTACGTCAGGAGACAAAGAGGAAGACTTCGGAGAACACAGCTTGTCTTATACCCTTACCGTAAATGAAGTCGAGGCTAAGTACTTTTCCGAAAGAGCTCGTGACTGGTAGTTTTACAGCAAGTAATATTCCGGCAAGTAATTTACCAGCTAGTGATTTCCCGGCTAGTAATTTTCCGATTGATCTCGTGATAGTCGTGTGATCAATACTTGACTACTTTGTGTCAAATTGGACCCTGCTCACAGCTCTTCCCTGCCGATTACCTATGTCAAAGGTGAATGCGTGACTAGGAATAAGTGCCCCTCTTAGCAAACTAACATAAATCATTGCGTGACTAGGTGACATTAACATTTTTATTTGCAGGCAAATAAACTCCTTTTCCATGAATTTGATTTCTTTTTCCTAGATTACTATTTCACTGTTTGGCTTGAAGTCCTTGGCACAAAATTTTCTCTGAAGTATATGGATCGTGATGACGTCGACACAAAGAACATGGAAATTGAGCTTCTGAACCAGGTATACGCTTGATATTGATATTAGGGCTTACTTGATAAAGTGTACTTTAGGCTGAAAAATTGTTGTAGGGCGTGGAAGGGATCAATTGAGAAAAAAATTATTGTTCCCCTTCATTTAAAGTATTGCATCAATTTGCAGGATGAACAGTATCTTCAAAATGTGGCTGGATTTATCTCAACTCAATCTCCAAGGGGACGTAAACGAACCCATATTGTACACTGTTGGAAAAGAGTAGGGGACGTTTCCCGAGTGGCGGCGTGGTGTATCAGTCCCGAAATATAATTTTATGCTTTAAGGTGTTTCGATATAGTTTTTTAGAGGCCATACCGATATTTTTCAATCGCTTTAAAAGTGATTTTGTCCTTGTCTGATCGCTATAAAATTTTTACCAATGATTGACTATAGATTGAAATTTGTCAAAATTTAGGTTTTAGTAAAATCCAAACATGACAACAATAAACAAAAAACCTTGAAACTGATAAACACCTAATTTTGTACGATCTAGACCAGCTAATGAAAATCCAACTCTAGGAACTTAAAGTTTGGTGTTTAGCAAATAACCTCCGTAAGAAGTAAAAAGTTCTGTATGTTTGAATTCGACTAAAACGAAAATATATTTCAAACCTTAAATTTTCAATAGCCGTAGATAAATAGATTAAATGGATTATTTAATAAAAACATTATAAATGACTCAAATTATTCTTAAGTAGCGTCAGAAAACTGCTTAATATCATATTTCGATGCTAGGAAATTTTGGTCTATTTTCGTTCTTGCGATTTTAAAAACTGACCCGTTTTCTCACCACCTGTCTAAGTGCAACTTCACTCAAAATTTGGACTTTTAGCGCTTTTTTGTATATCTCTGAAACGACTCGAACGAATTTTTTTAAAATCTTTTCACATATCCTACGAACCGGTCAAAAATCCGCGTTACAACATTCACTGTTTTGACGTTACACTAATTTTTCCAAATTAACGTGGACAATACATATATCCATGACCAGTACATTGCAGTGTGAGTATTATCAATGTTTTACATTCAAATGCAATAAATTCAATCTAACATGTACTAGTCATGGAGGTATGTATAGTGCGCATTATTTTGGAAAAATACTGTGTCTCAGAGTAAAGGCTCAACCGTATTTTGTAAGCTTCAGTTACATGCTCTTAGCAAGAAAACCGTGCTTAAAATTTCGTTTAATCGTACTTTAAACTTGACCATCTTTCTGCGAAACTGGCCCTATTGGTTTTTTTAAATTAAAAATTGCATCAATTTGCAGGTTGAAAAGTATCTTCAAAATGTGGCTGGATTCATCTCCGTTGAACTTGATCGCTTCAGGTTGGAAACCATTATTGATACTGAAGGTTTATGAATAATAATTTCTTGGTCCATTGCTACTTTTTCAGTGACAAACTGGGTGGATTTAAAGTTATTATTGACAGGCAGATAAATTTCTTTTCTTACTGCTATT